AGAGAGAGAGAGAGAGAGAGCGAGCGAGCTCCCCTCGCCTCGCAGGGTGCCTACAGGCCAGGCGAGGGGAGCTGCTCAGCCGCCTGACTAACCGAGTGTGAGCATACGCAGCCAGGGTGACATGGTGTGTGGGGGTTTGCGTGTTGGCGGCTGCCCCATCAGGACTGAGCACCAGCTTGTGAACCACCAACGACATGCCGCCGCTACCTTCCCTCGCTTCCAAGCCATGCCATCATAGTGTGCCCTGCAATGGAGAACAAATCCTGTTAGGTCAGAGATTTATGTTGTGTGAAGGAAAACGGAGTCAGTCTCCGTCTTGAACCTCCACCGAAAACGTAAAATACTTAACTTACTCTTCTTAGATTCCTACGCATGGTTTGTTTTCTACAAGCTCTTTGGCTAAAAGAATGGCAGAATGCAACGAACAAACACTAGACTTCATAAAGTATTAATAAAGTAATGTCTGAAGTGTTTATTTAGCAGTTTCATATTATACACGAAAAGCATCGAGTTCATGGGCCTTGCACAAATGACCGGAACGAGCGATGGTAACAAATTAAAGTAATACCAAAGATATAAAATAAATAAAAAAGGTTCCGTGCAATAAAAACCTAACTGAGCTTGTTTTCCCAGTCTTATCGTCTCCCCGTCATTTAATAGCTGTGAGAGGGTGAAGTTGTTGGCATTATCAATAATCCATGTTTCTCAAAGCGACCTACTCCTCCTCTTCCTCCTCCTCCTCCTGCGAAGGGCAGTATCGACCGGGTCGTGTCCCGCGACGGCCTGCCGTTGTGGCCTGGCGGTGGGTCGCCATGGCAACGCGGTGACGTCACGAGCGGAGGCGGGGAAGTGAAGGCTCGGGCGCTCTCCGCTCCCACTTGAGGCCGTGTTAGGGGTGGCCACCTCTTTGTTCTGTCTGCGCTCCGGAGTCACGAAGCGAAGGATTATTAGTGCAAAGGATGCGTCGCAGCCGGAGGAACTTGCTAGGGCGCGGAGGCTTGAGGGGGGGGGGAGCGTCTCCCATGAACACCGAAGGATAAGAACTGCATGCAACTGCAGCACAATATGGACGAATAAAGTGAGAGTGAGAGAGAGGAGATAGACAGATAGATAGATAGATAGATAGATAGATAGATAG